GCTCCAAGAAGAATCAATAGTCTAGAATGTTGTTGTTGAGTGACATCAAATCTGAACAAACCCATAGCTCAACTTCAGCAGGTTTTCAGAAGAGAAAATTGTCCATCTTTTTCCTGAGGATCAGCTGGTGGGTTTGAACCACATGATTTGGGGATTATAGCACAACCTCTTATTATTAGGCCACAAGAGCTCCCTATAGTCTAGAAATATTATGTTCTACAATTTTATGAAATTTATTTCCAAATACACCTGGATATTTAGCTGAGATTTCCAAGCAAACAGTGAAGCTGCGGTCAGCTTTCTCCTGGTTATGATAGTAAAAAAAAATAAATAAAAATGCAAGAGTGAAAAAATAAATTAAGGAAGGAATTTCTAAGCAATATGAGACCAAATCCTAGATATTTGATATTTGGTAAATTCTCAGCCTGTATATATTGAAGATCATATAAAAGAAGAGTGTGTTGCTTAAAAGTTACTGTACCATCATTTGATGAAGAAATTAGGCATAAGATTTTGGTACAACGAACAATATCAAAAGAAATGCAGTCAGATTAGATCAGAAATAATAGAGATGAAACAAAATTAAGGATGCCTATTTGCCATCTGGAATTCTACAGGCTGGAAACGGGCCAACTGAATTATTCAGAGGCAAACAAACTATTAAAAAACAAAACAAAAATACTGTGAGGGCAGAGCTGCCCTGGGTTTCAGAGGCTAGGTCCACTACCTCAGGCCTAGATGTCAGAACCATTTCCACATAGAACAATGGGTCCAAAAGGTAGATAAAACCACAGAAGGTTATGATGCTTGTGCTTAAAAGACTAGGAACCACTTTTCCCCTACCAATTACACTCTTTTAGCATGTAATATCTGTCCTATGACTGCCTCAACATTGTATTTTGGAAGCAAACACTAATAACTTATTTTGTAGTTTCACAGATCAGTTTTTTCAGGTACTGTTGAATCGTCTACAACTCATAGAAACCCACTGAAACAGATCAGAACCCTCTCCTATCCTGAGTCATCCTTATCATTTCCGCCACACCCGGGTCCATAGCTGCAGTCACTGTGTCAATCCTCAATACACCTGGTCAAGAAAGTTGCTGCAAAATATACCATACCCAGACATTCACACATGATTTAAATGTTTTAGAAGATGAGATTTCAGACTTTTTGAGTTAAAATAAACATGTTTCTTTTGGACTTGCAGTTGATGTAAGAATGTGTTGCAGTTGCTGTTAGGCGCTGTCAAGTAGACCCTATATATAACAGAACTGAACCTTGTCCTGTCTTGTACGAATATCGTGAGTCCTTTGTTAGTCAATCTATTTTTTTTAATCTTCCTCCATTTTTGCGAATCTTTTACTATTCCCAGTGTGAGAAGCCCAACCCCTCCTAACAATATATCCAAAATAAGTGAGATTGTTTTACCATCTTTGATTCTAAGGAGCACCCTGGTTGCACTTCCTCCAACATAAATTTGTGCTTTTGACAGTGGTAGTATATTTAATACTCTTGTCCACAGACACAATTCAAAAGCATAAATTCTACTTTAATCTTCTTTAACAATTGGTCAAATTTTAAATGAATATCAAGCTATTGAACATTAAATGACTTGGGGCTTGGATCAGACACATCTTTGTTTTTAAACTAACCTCCTTCCCTTTCGTACTTTAAAGAGGTCCTTGACAGCTGATTTTCCCAGTCTATGATCAGAAGTTTTGATTTCCTGACTGCTGCTATCATGAGTGTTGACTGTGGATCCGAGAAAATGAAAGCATGGACAACTTCAATCTTTCCCCTCACCTACTATTGGTCAAATAGAAAGGATTTTTGTTTCCTTGATGCTAAGATGCAATCCACATTGAAGTCTGTTAAGTCTTTTTTGTTAAGTGATCCAACTTGTTTTGAGTTACTGTGAGCAAAGTTGTATCATCTGCATAATGCGGGTATTTGATGAGTGTTCCTTCAATCTTGAATGTCAATTTTCATATAGTCTAACTTATCGAATTATTTGTCCAGCATACAAATAGATATGGAAATAGGACACAACCTTGATGCATACCTTTCAGTTCTGACAACTGCCTGTTGGTCTATGTATAAGTTTTGCACAGTGTTCTGGGATTCCCATTCTTCTCAATAATGGTCATAATTTGTTGTAATCCATACAGTCAAATATCTTTTCATAGACATTAAAATACAAGTAAACATCTCTCTGTTATTCTCTGCTTTCAGTCAAGATTTATTTTATATCAGCAATGATATTTCTTATTCCATGGCCTCTTCTGAATCCTGCTTGGTTCTAGAAGTCCCTTGCTGGTATACTTGCTGGTCCTTGTTGTTCTAGCCCTTTTCAAATAATCTTCAGAAATATTTTACTTTCATATGATATTAAAGATATTGTTTAATAATTTCTTCATTCTTTTTTTCTAATGGGAACAAATGTTTCCATATTTGGGACATATGTAAATGCTAAGATAGGATAAGCATACTTCACTTATGGGAAGAACATGAATTGTGATGGACGCAGGGGATAGACTAAGAAAACTTAGTCATATAGTGACGAAGCAGTCAACTGCTAACCATAAGTGGTAGTTTAGAAATTCTGTGAGCTGGTGTCTGCTTTAGAAATATAGAATTCTATTCCATTCTTTTGCCACGTTGACATTAATTTTGACATTGATTAAACAACAAAAAGATTGTTCTTTTACACATACACACAGAGGTAATATAGTTATGGATTGGATAAAAGTTCATTCCTATCATCTTGAACCAGATTCACAGCTGACCTTCCAGCAGGTTCAAGATTGTAAATCACACTGGAGGAGACTGGCCATCTTTCTCCTCCAGGGACTGCTAGTAAATTCTAACCACCAGAAAAATGCTGTGCTTGGATTAAAGTGTGACTTCCTACAGACCAAATCACTAGTTGTTGTTAAGTGCCGTGGAGTTGCAGGCAACTCATAGCAACCCTATGAAGGAGAGTCCTCGACACTTGGGTGCCTTTCATCCTCCCTCCAGGTTCATAGGGTTTCTGGAGGCAAGCTGTTATGGAAGTGGATGCCACTCCTCCTTCCAAGCTTGTTTTAATCGGGGAGCTCCACCCTACTCTCTGTCTGCATTGGGTAGCCAACCATTAACGCATTTGACACATCAGTGTCAGTGTTCAGCCTCACAGCAAACACAATTGACCGTGGTATGGCAACTTGTACACCAGGGCTATACGACCTAGAGGAATGTCTGAACAAAAACTATGAAAGACAGGCCCAAGGGCCGCAGATTAAAAGTCACCCACCTTTGGCTTGGTAGCTTCTCTAGAGCTCTCTTACTAATTGAATTCTGCTCCCCAGGTTTAAGTTCTAGCCTCCAGTATCTGTAAATGTAATCTCCCTTGAAAATAAGGCCTATGAGGGGAGCTCTGATAACCTAGTGGCAAAGAGCTTCAACTACAATCTCAGAGGCGCACGGTTCGAATCCACCAGATGCTCTGCCGGGAAAGGAGGGGCAATCTCCTCCTGTACCAGTCAGATCTGATTTGACGGTACACTCACACAAAAATAATAAAATTTAAAAAAAAGAAAAGAAAAGAAGGCCTTTGTAGGAATAATTCGTTATCATGTGATCAAACTTGAAGTAGGTTGGGCCCTACTTCAATATGACTGATGTTCATTGTTTATTAGTACAACTGAGTCTAAAATGAGGCATAGCTAATTCTCCAGTGGGCTTTCAGAGGTAGTAAATTACACAGGACTGTCCATCCTTCTGGGGAGCAGCTGATGGATTCTACCTGTGTGCCTCTGGGCTGGCAGCACAGTCAAAAGATAGCCAGAGTGAATATGACCTGGTGAAGGGGTGAAGGTAGAAGCAGAAGAGTTATGGTACCACAAACCAAGAATGCCTAGTGCTACAAGAAGCTGGGAGCTCTAGTGGCCTCCCAAAGGTAAGAAGTTCAAATCCACCAGCTGTTCCATGGGAGAAAGATGGGCAATCTCCTCCCAGGTGATTTCCTGCCTCTGAAAATCTATTGGAGGGTCAGCTATGAATAGGTTCCAACTGGATGGTACTTCACAAGAAGAAGAAGCTAGAAGAAGCAAAGAAGAACCTTCTAGAGAAACCATGACCCAACCCTCAATTTATAGTTCTCTCCAATACAGTAAAAGAATGTATCTGTACTCCCTGATTTACAATGGGCTTCAGTTATAACTTATGTCAAAAGTCAGTTCTGATTTAAGTCAAATATCTCATTTTGTTTTCAGTTTCATTATCTTTGTTATAACCTACATAGCAATGGGCTAAATAGTAACTTAGAATCATTTGCAAGTGATCATCCGAGAACAATAATGTCAGCAAATTACATGTAGCAACACTGTATTTAGTACATACATCTAATGATAAAACTGAAAATAAAGGCAAAACAAAACAAACCACAAATGGTCAGCCACCAAAAAATGAATTGCCTTGGTGTTAGATCTGGCACACAGTGGGCAACCCTTCATTGGGCTGCCAAGACTATATCCCAAAGGAAGTGAGTGCCTTTGAGTTAACGGCACAGCTCCCTCAAGACCAGGTCACCAGACTCATGATAAGATGTACTGAAAAAGCCTCCCAGACAGTGGTCATAACTTGTAGATGCCTTAAGCAGGGGGCTATTTGAAAATCTGTTATGGCAGTCCTCAGATTATCTTGCATTCCTTTGCTTCCAAAAGCCCACTGATTTACTTTATAAATATATTTGAAATACTTGTCAATTATTTCATTCATAATCACTTTATATCTCTTAGAGTCTTTCTTTGTGACTTATAAATTCATCTCTCATTTTATTCAAATTTTCATATAATACTTCTCTTTTATATACAGTTACTTAAACAACTTGACTTTGGAGACTGCTAGCATTATGTAATTTATATTTAATGTTAATAAACTATATTACGAGACCAAATTTAGTTCATTTATCTTAAAATTATTTCTTCCTTAAACTAAGATAGCAAAGAAGAGTGAAATAATACTCTGAAACATGAATCATTTTAATATATTTATAGGAATCAAAAAGAAGAAATTCATCAGCAAAAAAAAATTAACAAAAGTAATGTTTTATAGATTTTTAGTCTCAAAGCACAATACATTTTCATAGAAACAAATATATCACCATTATAAGTACCATAATATGGTAACATTAGTACACAAGGCCATTTACCATTAAGAAAATTAGTGGCAATGGTGATGAAATATTTTGTTCATCCTTGTTAAACTTTCTGCCATTATATACTTCCTGGCCTGCAGGAGTATTTGCCAGGATAAAAAAAGAAAATGTGTGACCTCATTTTAATACATAGAAAACTCTGGCTGCCTATGTTTATCCTTATACTTCATATATGAGAACTAGGAATATTTTTAATACCACTACTCTGACCTTATACCATTTACTATAAAGACCATTCCCAGGAAATTAGACATTTTAATTGGTTCATTTGGGCAGTAATAGATTATTTTATACAAAAAGAAGTACATTATTAGACTGAATATTCTCTATGCCTAAATGTAATAGGAGGGAAAAAAACTGTACATGTATTATCTTGAAAATAAATGGGGAACACTTGAAGTAGCTAGTGCACTGGATTAGAAAAACTGTTACAATATTGATTTTTTTTCTCCCATTTTTGAAGTTGAATAGTTTTTAATGCACCAGATGATATTCTAGGGCCATTCACATTCCATCTTTAGATACATTAGTGGCATATACAAAGCACCATATAATATATGAAATGTAGAACAATCACATCTATGTATTTAACTGTAAAAATAAGTGCTAAGAAAATATAGCAATTATTTAACACAGGATTCTAAAACCATTATATATTCATTACTTTTTCCAAAGCTAAAGTCCCATGTTTTATTTTACAGACTGGCTGTCAAGATTTTATAATCATTTGGTACTTTTCTGGACTGAGATAGTTGTTATCTTCTGTACAGTAATGTTACAGTTTTATACAAACGTCAGAAATACGGCATTTGGAATCATCTGTAGTATCTTCTTCCAAGTGTTCCACTTCACACAACAGCAAATACCCTGAATGCCTTTCCTCCTGGAGGATTCTGTAAACTGCAAGAAAAATATAAAAGCATATTGATGTCATCTCCACATAGTCTTCAAATGAATCATGACTCTCATGAATGAACAAAAGGCAGCTCTGAGAATCCAGATGGTCAATGTTCTTAGGACACAAAAATGTACAGCTATTGGAAGACTTCAATGAGGATGACAAAATTCTCAAAATTTTAAGTGTATACTGTGCTGCAAGTTTACTGGGGAAATTTATGCTGTATAATACTCCAAAGACATCATAATAGTTTACATAAGAACTTCATAGATTTAGATCATATTTTTATATATTCTTTTGATCTTAAAACAAAGCAGAGTTAGGAAGATTGTTTTACTATTAAGAGAATATATACTGAAACAGTTTTAAAACTAATTTCACCTGGTTCATTATTAATTGCAAATTAGGAAATCTATACTATTTCTACTACTACTAATTGCGGTTGTTATTGTTATACGACATTACGTCATTCGTGACTCATAGCAACCCCTATGTACAATAGCCCTGAAGTCAGCTCTAGCCTGGGCCAACTATACTGTCTCTTTCTCTGACATGCCTACCCTCATTACCACCCCCCTACCAATGAATCAGTCCATCTGAATGATGGTCTTCCTCTTTTTCTCTGTCTCTTCACCCTTCCAAGCATGATGTCCCTCTTCAAGGACTGGTTCTGCCTTGTAACATGCCCAATGTCAGATGAAGCTTCAGAATCCTTGCCTCCAAGGAGCAGCCTGGTTTCTCCCTCTCTAGGATCAACCTGTTTGTTCTCCTGGCAGTCCATGGTATAATCAGCACTTTGTCTATTCTAATATACATATCTGTTGTTGTTGTCCTTGATTGCCTTCGAGTTGAGCACAACTCATAGTGACCCTATGAACAAAAGACTTGAAACTCCTCTACAACTATAGACATTTAGCAAAGTTCATCGGGTTTCCGGAGGCATGCTATTTAGGAAGTGGATGTCACTCCTGCTTCCATTATCTATACTAACAATAATCTATACTTGTCTAGAATACTAGCTTAATCTCATTTCTCAGTTTAATAAAATTTAAATGACATTGACATCATACATATCCAAATTTAAATATATAACTTTTAGAAAAAAAATTTTTGTGAGAAAAGTTAATGATCAATGGGAACAGTTCTAAGAATCTCTTAAAATAGAAAACACATGAACACAAATGGTACACACACACACACACTCTCACACACATGTTTTAATATTAGAAGATAATTACTCTATGTTAGGAAATGAACTAAAAGTCTTAGCAAATGAATGTATCTGGCTTAATCTGTCTCTGGCATACAGACTGATACACCGGGGAAATGCCTATAAGCTCACCAAACTAGTACTGAATCTGAGCTTTGAATTTCCCAAGTTATATGGTTTTGGCCACACAGTATAATCCCTGTGGGACACAGTTAACATATCTTTAACTTAGCATTTATATTATTGACTTTAAAGGGCCGTTAGTCATAATTAGCTTATATAGGTAAAGTGCTCAGTAGCATGTGGACTCTTTACATTAGATATTCAAAATTAAAATTATAATGATAATATTTTCTAAGGATAACTGAAGTTACAATTATCCTCAGTTTTCTCTTCATCTATCACAACTTTAAAGTAAGTTTAAGAAATGTCAAATATGGATGAAATTGTTCACATCAACTTAGTTTATGACACTATACTATGCATCTTGCTATCACTCAATAACAAATTTTATAGTTATTTGTTTAATTAATTAACATAATAATTATTGTATAAGATCATGAAATAGGTTGTATGTAGAGAGGTCACCTTCTCAACAATAGCCTTTGAGACCATCTCATGTAACAACAGTTGCTCTTTTTATGAAGACAACACTCAGTGAGTCTGGCAGAAGGAAATCCAGGTAATTTGCATGGTATATTCCCTGGTGGTTTTTAGAGAAACTGTACTAGGCTTTGGGCCCCTCTGTGGGCAATTCTGAAGACTCTAAAGAACACCTAACCATATGGGACTCTTATGCATCAATATAAAATCCTTGAGACTTAATATTGCTTACACACACACAAAAAAATTTTTAATGATTTAAAAAACAAAACAAAACAAAACACAAATAGCAGGGTGTTTCCTCCTATGGTATAAGCAAACACTAGACAAAATGATTGACATAAATTCTTACAACGAATAAAATATACTAATGCATAAAATGAGCGGAAAAGAGTTTTATCATTGACATCCAACTTCCAATTAACGCGTTGCCGCAAATGACGGCAAAAAAATGTGTTTCTAAGCACGGTCTCAATTTAAAAGTGTGCGGCAACGTGTTAAAAAGAGAGCTGAGCTGTCAGGAAAATCAAACTCATTGTTTCTGTCAAATACTTTTCTTGATAGCTGGATTAGAAAAGTATTCAGTGCCATGCCCATCTAGAAAGAATTAAACATACAAAACTAATCTAGAAAATCCAAAAGAGGGTGAAAGAAATTTCCTAATTATAAGATCAGTTAACAAAAGACTGGTTCTGACTTGTAATCCTATTTTCATGTTGATTTCTATAAGCCTGGAGGAGACCGGCACCTCTGGTACTGCAGCTTCTCTCATCCCTACACGACCAATTGTTACACAAGTGTACAAAGAAATATCCTGGCTCAGTCATTCAAGTTCAAACCCATGCTTAAGTAGGTCTGTTCAACACAATTAAAAATACACAAAAACATTGCTAACATAAGTTTTACTTTTTTTCCTCTTTTCTTACCTTTCTGAGAAGATTCCATTCTGAAAAGAAGCTGTGTAAGCCTTTCTTTTGTCCACAGGCATGATGTCCACATAACCACCATTATTTCGAACCACCCCAGCATGCACTGCTGCTCGGCAGATACTGGACAACTAAGGGCAGAAGACGAATTTACTATTATTAGGAAATCTATGCTAACTTCGTCTGGTTCACTGTTTTACTACACTAGTGGCCCTGATATCTGTCTCTAATTGGGTACCTAGTAGAAAACTACTCAGTAATATTTCATATAGAAGAGAGTATTTTTAAAGTCAGAAAATCTAAACAAATCTCAAGGCAGGTCTAAACAGTGGCTTCCCCATCATCAAACTCAACAAACACCTGACCAACTCTAACAGCAGGTTTTGGATTGGGAAAGTATTAAAACCCAAATCAGCTCATCTTATCACTCCAAGGGCCTGTTGATCACACTTCAGTTTCAGGCTTTTTATCCACCCCAGAGTCACCTGACCAAACATCCACAAATTGGCTCATTTATGTTCACTTTTGATTCGCAGATAACACCAGCATAGTTCAGCATATATATAATTTTTTTCTCAACTATATATTAAATGAGAGTTTCTTCTTTTCTTAACACGGTGCCGCACACTTTTAAATTGACGACCATGCTTAGAAACACGTTTTGCAGTCATTTGCAGCAATGTGTTAAATAAAACAGAAAGATTATTGACTGAAAGAATGACCTCTACTTAAAAAGGAAAGCAATCAATCATACTTTAAATTAGCATCTCAATGTCTATGACTCTGGTTTGAGCGGTCTGACACAGACTCTTAAGAAAACTTTATGAGTTAATCATACCAATCACATAATTTGAAGGAGCCCTGAAGGTCATAGATAAGTGTGAGGTTGGCAGTTTGAACATATTTGCTGCTGTGACAGAGAAAAGTATGTCAGGCTACCTCTGTAGAGAGTCACAGCCTTAGAAACCATGTGGGAAAGTTGCACGATGAATATCATAGTACATGATTTGAATTGAGATTCCTAGAGAGAAGAAAAGTATCGTTTCAAGTCCAAAAGTCAAACAATTTATTCTGGAACATGATAGCCTTTTCCAAATTTTTCAACATTTGCTTTTATCCAAATGTTCTATCAGAATGTATCATCTGAGCATATCTGAAGAAACAGCTACAAAATGGAACATTTAGGCTGTTTCTGAATAAAGCAATTCTCTTCCATACCTCCAGAGGTCTTTTTTCAACAAACTGGTGTGTTCTTTTCTCATTTTGCTGCACAAGTAAGGGACTTAATTTGCAGTGAGGGATTTTATGTGCTTTTCTAACTTAAGGGAGGAACTTTGTTGGACTAGTGGTAAAGAGTTGTGCCACCAATCCCAGGGCAGGAGGCTCGAATCCACATCCTGGTCCAAGCAAGAAAGGTGTGCTTCCATGTGGCTCTGATTTATCATGGGACTTCCCTGGCATCAGTCAGTGTGCATCAGATTGAAGAGTCCAGAATCCAAACTCTTTACTTCACGGTTTCAAACTAGTTCATCTTGGTGGGGTTCTTGCCCAAGAATCTGCCTTTTCACCCCAGATGCACTAAAACAATGTACATTTTAAGAAAATCTCTAGGTGTATCTTATAAAAATCATCTGGGGAATCTGTCAAAATGAGCATGGAATCTTGTTAAAATATATTCTAGGATGGAAATGCAAATTCTCCAACAGAACAAACCAGACCAGTTATAAGATCTGTTTTAATCATTTCCATGCTTTTGCTGCATCACAAAATGCTCTACATCTCAAACTTTGCATCTTTACTCCACGGAAGTATTGTATTCACTATTTAAAATCCTTCACTGAATGAGCATCTGAATCTAAAATGGTTCATGATGGGATTAACAATCTTCACACATTTCAGTACTTATTCTGTTTTGTTAAAAGGATGTTATTGACAATTTTGTCAAAGCACTAACTGTTCTTAAACCATGAATGATTAAATTCAAGTATTTAGCCTGTGTCTAAACTATCATCTTGTCTCTTAACTATGCAGTTTGTGGAAATTCCTGCTTGAGTTCAAAGGTCAGCACAGATTTTCTTTTCAAATCCATATCTTATAGACTATATTATATTAAGAAAAGAATGGAACATTTTATGCAAATGGACAGTTCAATATATGCAGAAATGAATTCCATCTGTAAGAAACTAGAAGTTAAATTCACATTGCTTTAAAAGTAACAAAGTGAAAGCTGTAACTATAATGTTAAGAAGCAAGGAACTAGTTGAGGCAATGTTGTAATGAATGATATAGTTGAGATTGGAAAAGAAAGATTGATTTGTTCTCATCTTCCATATGAACCTTTGTGAGGAGAGGACACATTTTATTGGATGTAGAAAGACTGGCTACTATCAGTTGGATCTTGGGTTGTCCTACGTGATACTAAAAAATCTAATTGTCACCTACTTAGTTGTGACTCATAGAAACCCTCCACCAGGCCTCCAGGATATAAATCTTTATAGAAGATGTTCATTTTTCCCCCTCGGAGCAGCTAGTGGGTTCAACTGTCCAGTCTTTCAGTTAGCCCCTGACAGATTGCATCCTATGGCATCTGTGCTCCTTTAATGTATAACAGTCTTTATTTCCAACTTACTCCTAAAAGAACTACAATAATAAATATATTTCCTAAGGCAGAAAAACAAAAGATTTCAGGTTATAATCATCAAAAGGCTAGCTTCAGCAAAGAATTAGTCTGTACAAAGAAGTATGCAGGATATTTTGAAAGATTTCTACCAGATGATATTACAATGAAAAGTTCTGGGGCTTAACTGGACAATTTAAGGGGCAGGGGGAATCAAACCTACATCTCTAGTAATCTTGAAGATGCTCATTTCTATCTATTTATTAGTTTTATTTTCCTACAAATATGCCCAATGTCACTGTTTTAAGGCAAGAAGCAAGTGAACCTTGCCAATGACAAAAATAATCAATGATTACTCAGTTGCTACATTCAGGGAACTCTCAAATTATATATGGAGAAAAACAATCCTAATACCTGACAAAATCTGCTAAACCATAAAGAAAGAATATTATAGGGCTTCAAAGGAGGAAAAGGTGACTTCATAGAGAACATCTAAGAAGACTACATATCTCACAGAGGAAGTGGCAGGCATTTAAATATGAAGAATCACAATATTGACAGAAAAATGAAGGGAAATTTAAATGTCTTTTAAGCAGAGATAAGACAAATATGAACTTATGGATTTTTAAAGTGTAGGTAAGATTAAGGCAAAGATAAAGATATCAAACATAAAGAAGAAATGAAAACAATCTATAAAAAATCACAGATTTTTTAAATGTAGAGTATGATTCAGGAATATCTGGGATGGAAATGCTGCTTCTCAGCAGGGATTCTAAACCCAGACTCAAAACCCAGTTCAAAGGCCTGCCTTAATCCTTTTCATGGTTTTGATGATGAATCCCAACGTGCCATTATCTCTAAAACTTTACATCCTTACTCAAAGGAAGCATTTTAGTCATCATTTATAGACGTTCACTGAGTTAAAGTTTGAATCAGATATGGTTCATAATGAGGTTAACAAACTGGACCTAAGCAAACCAAAAAAATAAAGTCGCCATCTATATATTCCAGGTATCTATTTGCAATCTTATTTCTATCATATGCTGTGGGACATGAACAGCAAGAATCTATTTCTTAAGTATGGGGTTGTCAGTTTTTTTAAAACTCTCAACACTTCAAAATCTATGATGATTTCTAAATGCCTGCCACATGAACTCTAAAGTCATTAGTATATACTTTCAAACTCCACACCTACATGTTTGGTCATGATTGCCAGGTGCTGCTAACACCAAACACGGTGATAGAGTGGGACAGCCCTGTAGAGTTTCTTTGCTGTTACCTTTCCGTTTTCCTGCTGAGCTACTGGGTATGTTTGAGCCACTAACATTTTGGTTCACAGTCAAGTGCTTAACCATAGTGGACTCCTTTCTACCTAGATGTTATAAGAGCTGTCTCCTTCTATCCTTCCAAATTAACTGGATGCAGCAAATTTACCTCAAATTCTTATCATCTCCAAGAAGAGGGGACCCATTAGCTATACTCAGCAGGCAAATCACTTGCTCTCACATGCATGGCTTTATACATGCCATTTAACCACCTAGAATGTTTTCCCTCAAATCTCTTTTCCATATTACCCTTCATGCTTGGCTTAGAAGAGCTTATTTATAGTGAAGCCATCACAGCTAATTTTCCTTGCTTACCTCTAATTATGTCATTCTTTCCTGCCTCCCCCCATATGATTTTATTTTATATATATTTTCACGTGTTATATTTTATTCTATGCTATTTTTAAAATCCTTGGAGAAACAAGAAACTGTTCACATGTTTGACAAATTCTCAGTTGTTCAGCTTATGTCTCAAATATTAAAGAATTAAAACAAAGATTCAAGTATGTCTTTCCCCCCGCAACAAAAAATACCTCCAGACTATTTCATTGACTGCCAGATACAATAGATATGGGTAGGAAATGAAGAAAAATTGAGTCAAAAGAAATTATTACATACTATTTATACACAGGTAATGATTTTTCAGTATTATTGATTAACAACACCATGGACATCAACACAGAATCTACTTCTTTGGTCTGCATATAAATGTACTTGCATATTTTTAAGTGTGCATGCATACTGAGAACTATATAAATTAGGATACTTACATCAGAATAAACTCGAGTTCCAATTACACGGGCATAATGTGAATTTGCTTGCATACAATTACGAGGACAGTACACTCTGAAAAAAAATTGATATATATATGTATAAACTTACTTTCATCTTTTTTATTGGAAAAACTATAGACATGCACATACAAAAAGTAAAGTCAACATTCCAAACTCTCTTTTCTTCCCTCCCCTGAAATATTTATAAGTTGGGAGGATAGACAATTGTTTTTGTTTTTATTATCTACTTCCAGATTTTAGCACAAACAGGATTATTCATTTTATGATGGTTTTGTTTTGTGATTTTTTTTTTTTTAGACAAGAAATCTTCTAATTTGGAGAATGAAAGCAAAAAGAAACATTAGGAGGGAACTTTAAGAATCTAGTGTTCTAAAAGCCTTTAGAATTTAATAAAATGTTATCTTAAAACATTTTTAATTGCTAACATATTTCATCATTTCTCTTTTCTAAATTAACAGTTTTAGAGATCCCATCCAGTTTAATGGTTTTCATTAATATCTATTGAGTTGATTCCTACAAATATAAGTCCAGTTGAGATCTCTTCATTCTAAATTTGTAACTTGTCTACCCTACTTCTTACTCACCAGCTCCGCTTAAATCTAATAGACTTCTCAAGCTTAACATGCCTGAAAACAAAGGACCAATTTATTCCAATAACCCTTTGCTCTTTCTTTTCAATAAAGGGCAACACAATTATTCTAGGTGCTCAGGTAAAAAAGTCTTTTACTATCTCTGTCTCCTTACATTCAATCCATCAGCAGCTTCTATTGCCAATAACAAGATCTCTGGATGGTTTAAGTAATTTGCAACCAGAAGGAAGGATTGAGGCTCCATAAAAGAAAGGTCTGGCAAACTTCTTGCATAAAGACTGCTGGTATTTTCCATCAATCAGATCCCAACTCATGAACACCCTATGTATGCAGACTATAACCACTACATAGGGTTTTCAAGGCTGTGATTTTTCAGAAGCAGTCTGCCAGGCCTTACTTTTGGGTGTATTTAGGTGGTATTGAACCACTATTCCTGTTAATCGCTCAGAATCTAACCATATGCACCACCCAGGGATTTCTTCCACAAAGATTATTTTCTGAATGGACAGCTCTACTGTATAGCACTCAGGATGACTATGTGTCAGAATTGACTCAACTTGGTGACAGGTTTTTTAAAAAAATTTTGAAATGTATCTAAAAATCAGATCATGGCTAAGCTCCTGAGTATCTGCAAATACAGACATCATCTTTTAATGGGTGCTTCACTAGTAATAGGCTCCTCTATGGTCGCTCTCCTTCAAACTCTGGACCCTCTACCTTATTTTTCACACATGTAGATAGATACATATACACATAGATTCATGTCATGACTTAGCTTCAGACACTTTTAATATCATTCTTTAAAAATGGCAAAGAGTCATGCAGCCTAATATATTCCGTTTTCCCAATACCTCTCTGACTATACTTCTTACTCCTCTTCCACTTCTCAGCCACCTCCATTCACACAGCTTAACAGTCATTCATCAAATGTATCAAAGAGGTTTCTGCATCAGAGCATTTACATTCTCTCTCTGCATGGAATGATCTCTCTCCAGATGTCTGATGGCTTTACAGTTAAAGGACTTGTTTCGCTGATTTAAAAAGAGTTTCTAGAAACTTTTTTTACTTAAAACTTAGGGTCAAATTATTAGTGTCTATTAGACTTATGATACTAAAACAAGATGAGAAAATAAAAAGCAAAAGAAACCCAAAAAACTCCATATTCCTAAAATTCAACAAATATTCACATGATTAACTCTTGAATTTTCTCTCTTTCTTTTCTAATTCACATGCTCTCTTCACAGAACACAAAGAGACATTAAAAGCAAAGTGTGAGAGTTGCAAATGAAAAGCAAAGGAGAATAAAGCATTTTACTCGCTGTATCAAAACTCTGACATGTCTACATGAAAACAATACTTTTCTCAAAAATATTTTAAAATACTAAAATTGAAACTACCATAGCTATGTGAAATGTGTCCTTCTTAGTGTCAAAGAATCTATTATAGTATTTTAGACCAAATAATTCTCTTTTTTTTAACATGTGCATAGAATTGTATAATCCAAATTGGATAAAGTACATATAATATTCTAACTAGAACCATTTAAATATAAGTTAAAAAGAAGAAAGTGAGCTTTAGTGACTTAAAATTGAAGGGTTGATTTATATGAAAGATGCCCTCTGGGGATTCTGTAGGTAGGAGGGTAACTCCCACTGACTGTAAAATGATCTCTCTATATTTGGTAACCAGTGGGGATTCACTGCCCACTCTAATTACCTACTCTGCCTTTAGGATCATGTTGTGTGAACTCTGTACTGACCATATAACTGGGAATAATGTTACAACACTTTTAAATTGATCCTTTGAACCCATCCCACCAATAGGCATCCAAATGCAGAGGTAGAAGCTGTTGGCACAAGAGGATTCTTGCCTTTTGGTGTTAAGATTTTTTTTTCTCCCCAAGCAATTCGGAAGTAGCCCAGTTTCACAAGATTAAACACACACTTAGGAAGGTAAAAGGACAAAGTAAGCCAATTCACAAAGTATGCATTTACATTTCCCCCTAAATCATGAAATTACAATTGATGCAAGTGATAGGGAATGGCAAAGGAAATATTGACAAAGTAAATAAATAAGAAACTGCTTCTGAACTGTGATGTGAAACGGTGGCAAAACAACACAAGGGGAACCAATTCACTTAAAAATGGAGATAGTTGAAAAGCCAACCCCCAAGGGTCACCATAAATCCATCAGAAGCTGTGCATCACCATATAGCTGTGTGACCTCACCCTCCACTGGAAAGAATGCATATATTCATAGACAAGATAAGAAGAGGGTCGTTCTATCCTGACACATTCATAGTCTGTTATGAACGTCTAATAAATCTGTTTCTTTCTCTTGCTCTCACTTGGTGTCTTTTGTGGCAGTGTTTTCTCATATCCAAGTCAGAACTTTGGAAATCATCCCTTTGACACTATGAAAAACAGTTTACTTGGTGATAGTGATGGAATTGAAAATTACACCTTACTGTCTCGTAAACGTTGCTGCTGTTATTCCAAAAGCTAATCTATTTATAGCAAACTCATTAAATCATTTTTTAAGGGTTAAACTCAACAGTTAATAAAGACAATTTCAAAATATTACCAAGTGAAATTACATGAAGTTACACTTTCAATAATTAACAAAGTGGTCTTATGCCTCAAAGCTTTCTTTATCTGCTAAAATACCACTTGCAAATCTTAAAAAAAAAGTTTCAATAAAAATGTCTTTATAATACTTGTAAAAGTTTTCACCTTCACAGGGAGCTCTGGTGGCCTAGTGGCAAGAAGCTGCACTGCAATCCCAGAGGTGCACAGTTTGAATCCACCAGATCCTCTGCTGGAGAAGGAGGGACAATCTCCTCCTATACCAGTCAGATCTGATTTGTACACACAAAAAACTAATAAAATAAAAAATGTTTTTTTAAAAAAAAAAAGTTTTCACCTTCACTTGGCCAAGTAAGATAGACATTTCTCATTATTTAATAGTAGGTTTACCCTATCATAATTTGTAAAAGATAACATGCAATAAAAAGAAAAATGAGGGTTTTTTCTTTCCCATTTGTAATATGATTTCATTAATTCAGAAATTAAATAGAAATATGAAATAATTTTTTATTCCACACGCATTTCTGTACTAAGAGCTCTTTGAAATACATGTGAACGTGGAGACTATATATTATATGCAGGTTCTATGCCAAAAGTTCTCCTCTCTTTGGGGAACATAAGCTGGGGTATCTTGAGTGCATACAATTTTTGATCACCTATGACTCTCTCAAGCTTCATATGTTAAAGATATTTATACCATTTAAATCTTAAAGATACTAAAATGTTAGCCAAGGTAATTATCACAGGGCCAAAGCACCCTGACTTTCCCTGATAAAAGAGAATGATTCCCTTTCTAAATAAAATGTTACCTGGGGCAATGTGAAGCAGGCTTCTGAAATGGACACAGCTGTTCCACCGTTGTTTCACAAGTGATGGCCTGAACTACAAGAATTAAAATACATAAAAAGAGTGAAGCTTTTGGAAGTGATAATATCCAATGTAAAAATCAGAAAATCAGATAAAAATTTTAGTGCTAACCTGATACTCTAGAGACTGTGAAGGAATTGGCAGACTGATATTTGCTGAAGATAAAAAGAGAGAAAACAACTATTAACTTATAAATTGTCATCAAAATGACTAGTGGTCTCCAGGTTCAGGAGGATTTTATTTCACTTACGTAATTTTCAGTAAAATAGTGAGTCTAAAACTCTACAATCCACTTTATGTTAATTACATATTATCTCGAAGTGTAATCTAAATCAATGCCATGCTTGAGATTAAAAGATCTTTTCCTTATTTACAGATAACAACATAAAGCAAACTGTATGAATTTATATCTACACATTTGTTTCCTGTTAAAATTGAAACGCTCAATGTTACTTCCTTGTTAACACAAAGCAAAACTCTTTTACAATATTATATAAGGCAATTCAGTAAATGGACAAGACAAAAAGTACCTCAAGGAAGTAATTTGTGTATATGTATGAGTGTGTATTTATGTGTGCCACCAGAAACTAGTAGGTCTAAAATAAATGAATGCATCTCCAGTACATGCATTATTGAAAAACAGTGTTATAAAGTAGGTATACATTAAACATCAAAATTTTAATTGTTCAAGATTTCAGAAAATATCTCTATTATATTAGTTTATTTATAATATAATATGTGGAGAAAAGACTAAAATTTGCTTTTCTCTTTACTTGAGTCAATAGTCAATACTGATGGACACAGCAGTCAAGAAATCAAATGATATGTTGCATCAGATAAATCTGCTACTAAGGACCTCTTCAAAATGCTAGAGCAAAGCTGTTATTGTCATACTGAAGATTGAGGAGATCTGCAGACCTTGATCAGCACATGCAACAGTAGTTTCAATATTCATATGTATATCAAAGTTAGATACCAAGGAAAGGAAGGCTAAAGAACTATGAATTTTGGTATTGCCAAAAAATTGAACCTACCAAAGACTGCCAAAAGAACAAACAAATCTATCTTGGAAAAAATGTAGCTAGAATGCCTTTTAGAAACAAGGACAGTTAAATCTTCATATCACATATTTGGATATGTTTCATAGCAGAAGGGTCCAGCCTTTGGAGAAAGATATTATGCTTGGGAAAGCAGGGGAGCTCTGGTGGCCTCATACTAAGAGGTTGTGCTGCAATCTCAAAGGCATGCGTTTCGAATCCACCAGCCGCTCCATGGGAGAAAGATGGGCAGTCTCCCTTAGTCCTGATCAGCAAAAATGAGGAAGACCCTCAACAAAATAGATTGACAACAAGGCAGATTATAGTGACTGTCACAATGAGCACAATCTTAGCAGCAATTATGAAAATGGAAAAGGATTAAGCAGTGTTTCATTGATTCTGTTGTACAAAGAGTAATTCAATGGCACCTAACAACAATGGCAACAACAATATACTTTAACACTGAAAAATATATACATGTATATTTTATAATATATATATTAGCTCAGAGTTTATGATTTGCAATTTTTTTATAATTATTCTTGTCAACTTCAAATTATACGTTAATGCACAAAAGAGAAGTAATACTCTTGAAATATAAATATGCAAATTATATAAATGTAGCCTTCAAATCTCTAGTTGTTGTAGACTCACTGTGACCATATAAAAAAGATCTAAACCCTGTCCTATCACGTTAAGTTTAAAGGGGGGGAAAAAACAAACTAAACATCCTTTCATGAAATGCCCAGTACTTCCTGTAGGTAATAATGTATTACTTATTGAAGAAAATTAATAGAACATTTACAGAATAAATGTGTTAATAAATTACATATACAGGTCACTGCAGTAATACATGAGTTTTAGTATTTTGTATTGTTATTATGGATTTCAATTTCAACCTATCATGGAACTTCATGTGATCATAGAGTTTAAAAGGAAAATGACTATCTCATATATCCTAACAAAAGACAGTAACAGTTTGTTATAAAGGAGAAATTAATGAAACCAAACATTTCAAATCTAGACAGTTGTGCTGCTAAGCCAAAGACTCTCCTCTCTAGAGGTTAGAATGTTTCAGTGGAGAAAGATTGGGAAATGACTCACAGCCTCAGAAATCCAAAGAAGGTCGGCTAGGAGTCACAGCCCTGACTTGAAAGCAGTAAGTTTGCATTTGACAGAGTGCATATGAAAATGCATGTTGTTTTAGAATAAGATACTTAGTGTCCTTACTAACAGAAATATTTCAAAAGTTGAAAAATGCATACTTAATGGGAAAAGATTAAGAGCTTTCTCCTTGATCATGAACAAAGCAAGGGTACTCACAACTTACACTGAGTACAGTTTAGAAGTCCTAGTCAGAGCAATAAGACAAGAAAATAAATACAAAGTATCTAATAGAAAAGGAAGTGAAATTAACAAAGGACAAATAACCCAGCAGTAAAATGCACTGAAGACTGGAATAGTTGTTTAACCGAAGAGAGTATTCAGTGGTCACCAAATGAATGAAATGATGATCACAAACCAAAAAAGAGATTAAAATAAAAACCAATGAGTTATCATTTTACTTCCACCATACTGACTAAGATTAACTAACTATCTAACTACATGCATACATATATAATGGAACAGCCATTGTGGAAAACTGAAGCAGTTCCTTAAAAAACCAAAAACTCAACTACTATGTGAACCAGCAACTCCACCCCTAGGAATCTATCAAAAAAAAAAAAAGAGAGAAAACAGATACTCAAAGAACAACTGTTCAGGATAACACTATTTACAACAAGGTGGAAACAACCTAAATGCTCACTAACAGATGAACGTTGTTATGTGCTGACAAGTTGGAACCTCTGACCCTCCAAAGTGGATTTTCAGAGGCTGTAAATCACAGGGGAAGAAACTGTCTATTTTCTCCAAGGGAGCAGCTCATAGATTCAAATTATCTGTCTTTGAGTTGGCAACAAAACTCCTTAGCACTAAGGCCACCATAGATGGACAGATAATGGAATACAGGGAATTGAGTAGCAGATATGGAGTCCTGATACATGCTACAATATGGACGGATCTTGAAAACATTTTGATGAGTGCAATAAGTCACTCACAAAAAGGCAATTATGGTAAGACATTATATATAAAATGTGAAAAAATATGCAGATATAGAGAAATTTTATAAAATTTATTAATGGCTTTCAGGGGCAGGAAAAAAAACCAAAACTAAACCTATGGCTATCACGTTGATTTCAATTCAGAGCAAACCTACAGGACAGACCAGAACTGCTCCACAGCGTACCAAGGCTTTAGATCTTTATGGAAGCAGATTACCATCCCTTTCATGTGTGCAGTGCTGGTCGGTTCAAACCTACTGTTTCCATGAATTACTGCTTCCTTTGCCATGTTGTTGTTATGTAGCCAAGTCAGAACCGATCCATTGCTCACCCTCCAGTGGGTTTTCACAGGCATTTAACTGCATGCGGGGAGAGTGTCCATTTTTCCTCTGAGGAGCAGCTAGTGGAATGGATCCACACACCTTTGTGTTGGCACGGCAATTCCTTACCTCTATGCTAGAGCTCCCCTACTTTTCCATTACACAAAAAAACCCCAGTGATACTCAGATACCGTTACTGAACATTTTGAGCAAAGATTTTATAGAAGAATCCTGACTAAAGTGGGGGAAATGAATGAAAAAAATTTAAGTTTCCATGGACTCTACACCTTCTGGAGGTATGAAGACCTGATGAATCCCCAGAACCATTGTCTAAGACAATTTTAAAAACTTAAACCAAAAATATTCCCAATGCTGTCTGGGGATTTGGGGTCTTTAAACCAAGCAGTAGTTAACTAGAAATGGTTGCCTTGAGGATTATGCTCCTTAAACAACGACCTGTATGGAATCAAGATGACCACTAACAACCAAAAAAATTATAGAAACTTCAGGAAAAAAGGCGTTTATGTTAAGGGGAGTGGGAAAATTCAGAAACGAGGATAAGATTGTATAGTTGGGAGAAAGTATTAATGTCATCAAACTATGTACAGAATGTCTGAATTAGAGCATGCTTTGCTGTGTATACTTTCATATAACAACGCAAAATTTTTAAAAATAATTTTATCACATTGAATTACAATATATTTGTTGTTCTTGTTGTTAGGTACCATCAAGTCAGAACTGACCTATAACCCTTCAGTGGGTTTTCAGAGGCAGTCAATATCATGGAAGGAGACAGTTCATCATTCTCCCACAGAGCAATTGATGGATTCAAACCACATACCTTTGAGTTGGCAGCACAATTCCTTACCACTAAGCCATCAGATCTCACCCAAATTATATTTAGGCAGACAATATATAAAGATGACATATTTAGAGAACGTTTCAAAATGCCCTTCTGTCTATTGAAATAATTTTTCTTTTAATAAGGTTATTGTAGCATGAAGCAAGTCAATTTCTCTAAATGTTATTCTTTAGTGTTATTAATTCCTTTCTTAGCCTATGAGCTTTACCAGAACAGACCACAAGGCATTTGATCCAGGAGAGCCACTAGTCGGTTTAAACTTTAGTCTTTCAGTTAGCATATGAGCATTTAACCATTGTGTTACTAGAACTCCATTTTCCTTACACAGAACACAGTAAATCTGTAAATCATTAGTCTTCTTTGGGATATTTTCTATCACAGGTAGGAGAAAATATGTATTGCTTCACACTGGAATTGCTATATCTTCAAAACTTTTATAAATTTAGAATTTTAGCAAGTCCTTAGCTTCTAAAAACAAAAGTTGTAAATTTTGAAGGTTTGGGTGCTTTTTCTTCTTTGTCTATAGAAATTACAAAACTAGAGTGAACCTGAAAAAGTATCAGTTTCTTTCTTCAGTATCAATTTCTTTCAGACTAAACAGTCTATGAGTTTCTCTTTTAAAAAGTGTTTTATCTCAATGCTATAATTTAAAGGCATCTTACCCAAAAGATCATTTGAGTACTTACCCAATTGATTGAACACCATTTCTACTGGATTTGATGAAATAATGTTTCCTTCCTTGTCTAGTGACATCTACCCAACCACCATCGTTGTCTATTATACCATAATGGATTGCAGCTCTACAGATGCTAGATTGCTACAAGGAAAGAAGGGAAGAAAAAGATGTTCAAAATATTAGATTACTTCCTAGGGCATTAAGAGTTACTACTAGTATGATACATGTTATTGTTGTTTAATGCTGTCGAGTCGTAGACGACTCATAGCGACCCTATGAACGAACAGCCTGAGCACTGTTCGTACACAGAGTTTACAGAGGCAAGCCATTTTGGAAGTAGATGCCGCACATTGTTCTGTACAAAATAACTATCCTTATATAAGCTTAATTGTCCCCTAACATTAAAAAATCTAGTTTTATACATTGTTGATGATGTTGCTGTTAGGTGCAGGCGACTATGATTCATAGCTACCCTATGAACAAGGCTTTAAATGTTGCCCTACCCTGAGCCAACACACCTGACTCTACTGCTACAGTCATTGTGCCAATCCATCTCATCCAGTGTTTTCCTCTTCTATGTTGACCCTTTCCCTTCCAAGTATAATGTTTTTCAAGAACTGGCTTCTCTTGAAAATATGGTTCAAAATCCCTGCCTCAAAGAAGCATCTTGGTAGCTGACATCCAAGCAGATATATGCACACCCATGTTTATTGCAGCTTTGTTCACAATAGCAAGAAGTTGGAAACAACCTAAGTGCCCATCAACAAACGAATGGCTAGAGAAGCTGTGGTATATTCGCACAATGGAATACTATGCTGCAT